CACTGAAGATACAAGACACTGAAGATACAAGACACTGAAGATACAAGACACTGAAGATACAAGACACTGAAGATACAAGACACTGAAGATACACAGGGCTGAAGATACAAGACGCTGAAGATACACAGGGCTGAAGATACAAGACGCTGAAGATACACAGGGGTGGAGATACAAGACGCTGAAGACACACAGGGCTGGAGAATTGGCTCATTTCTCTTTAATTTGATATATGTTCCTATACAGCCAATACTTTTTCTTCAGTCTTGTCATGTTGCAATAAAAAAAAAATTACGCCAAAAATTTATGCTTTCCAAACTCCAGAAAAAATGTCGAGCAATAACAACAACAAAAAGACAAAACAAGAAATGAATTGTGGAGATTATCATCATGCTGCTGGCACTTTGCAGAACATTGCTCTCATCGCAGTCCATTTACAAGAAACCAGGTCTCTCGCAACATTCTCTTGCCTCGTGCACTTTCCAACACAAGACCTCACAGATATGCTGTCCCAATCTTTGCACTGGCTGGCTCCTGCTCCTCTTTCCTGGAACAATCTTCTTCTTCTTCTTCTTCTTCTTCTTCAGCATTCCGAGCCCTTTTCATTGTTGCAGATATCACCTGCCTATTTTCATCTCTCTGGTGGGCCCTCTCTTTCCAGTTGGTGACACCTAGTGTTTGCAGGTCTGTCTGGATATTTTCTCTCCATCGTCTTCATGGTCTACCTTGTGGTCTACGACCATTCATCTCCCTGGCACCATACCTTCTACTATTTTTTTTCCCCAGTAGCACTTGAAAGGCCAGAATTTGTCAGTTTGTGAGACAAGATGCAGTTTACTAGCCAATCTTCCTTGATGTTCAGATATTTCAGGAGGTCTCTTCTTCTTGGCCTGTGATATTCTGGTGTTAGCGCTGGTCGAAATTTTAATCATACCTATATGCCCGATTTCCTAAAGGCGTGAAAAGGGATCTTTACTTTTTAAATATTTTAATCCACATTCTGACCCTTGGCACCAATAGGCTCTGGGGTTTCTCAGAGTTTTTACTCTCTTGGTTATATACGAGCAACAAAAACATACAGACTGAGATGATGTGGAGATCAATAAATACATACAGGGAATATTAACTTTTTCAGTACCTTAAGGTTTCACAGAAGATGCCAAAGCAAAAAAATGACCATTGATAAAGAATCAATAATGCACTACTTTCAAAGTTGCAATATAAGCAATGGTAATTACTACTGGGGAAGCCAGATTTCTTTAATATTTTCTGACTAAATGTTGTAAGTCAAAAGAAAATAATATGCTATGGAAGGAAATCAACTGACAGAGCCAATCACACACCAGGTGTTGCCTAGACCAAAAAAGTTTACCACAAAAGTGGCAGCAGGTGTTTCTCATTTAACATTTCATAACAGCTCAACTCTGCCACAAACTTTTTATTTTCTACATCTATAACAATGACATTTAAACTCAAACACCACGGTTGCAATTACCTTTTTATGTCCCAACCAGCACACCCTGTGTGATTACACTTCTTCAGTTTGTCCTTAAAAGGGCGGTTGGCATGTTGCTTTGCAGATTACAGCTAGGCTGTGATATATGTGCCTTTCGGCCCAAGACTTCTAAATTCAACAGAATCGAGTTAAAATAAATTTTTTTGGGAACTACCTTCTTGTTGGGGGCCAGTTGATCTTTTCGTTTTCCCCCGAAATGTGGTGCCTGGAACAGACACGTGCAGAATGGATAACATTTATGCGTATCAATCAACATGCTGTTATGTGTTCCCATTTTTTTGGTTTAGATAGGGACTCTAAAATACTCCAACAAATGTTTTTGTTTCCTACAAGGATTGCGTATTTAGTCCCTGCGGAAGTAGTACACTCATGACTGTGTGCTGTCATTACTGTCTCACTTAGACATCATCTGTCATAAATTGCAGCACAAAAGTTGTGTGTTTTTAAGCCTAAATAAAATATTTCAAAAACCAGCTTTTGCCTTATATGGTGGGTATATGTGTTAGGTAGAGGCAGGCCAGACTTAGAATTTTGAGATAAAAATCTTGATGCTGACTTGTATGCCAAAATTTACAATATAATGCAGATGTGATAAGGAGAACTCACCAAGGACCTCAGAAATTATTTTTCTTATTAGAAATTTATTTTATCTAGATAAGAGTTCAAGCAAAAAAAAATTAAAAAAATTGCCAGGGATAAACAAATTGTTCTTCACCACAGAAATTGGCCACTTCCAGGATCGCCTTTACTTTACTTACTGTATTATTGGCATCTGTGGCTCAGGCGCTGCGAACGTGCTTCGTAATGCCAGGGTGCTGGGTTCCATCCCAGCTGTGGACGGTTTGCTTTGCGTTGGTTTCGACAGTGGTACAGAGAGGAGACCATTCAGAAGCAATGGCAAACTATTGAATGTAACATTTGCCTAGAAAAACCACAACAGCCATAAAAACGCTGGGGCTGGTTCTGTAACCTCCTGTAAAGGATGCGCAACTTACTTTTTTTCAAACTCTTTATTACATCAGGGGATGAAAGAGTTTAAGCTATAACATTATGAGCAAACAGGCCTACTTATATATATATTCACACACACACACACACACATACAAACACACAAACAAACATATAATACAGTATGTGTAAGATATTGTAAGTAACAAATTATGCAATGTAATTAAAAACAATCGTTGCAAGGCATAAAAATGAAAGCACTAAAAATATCACAACACTGCATCACTCAGTAAGTGTCTTATACGTATGTGGAAATCAAGGGGGAAAAACCCACCACACTGATTTCCCAAGAGTTGAAAAGTTAGATTATTGGTGGAGTGACATATTCAACAAACTTAACAAGAAGGTTTTGAAACAAATAATCTGCCATGATGTGATGAAATAAATAATTTGACATGACATATGATCAAATGAATAATCTGACATGACATGTGATGAAATAAATAATTTGAAAGGACATGTGATGAAATAAAAAATCTGACATGACGTGACCAAAAAAAAAAAAAAAAACCAGAACAAACACATTACTTGAGACATGGCTAAAGCCAGCAAGGTCTGAAAATGTCATAAGTAAGCTGTCTATCTTCTGAGTATTCAGTGTTATCTAGATCGCCTTGTTACTCAACGTTGCACAGATTTGAAAAATTTTTTTTTTTTTTTTTTTACTTCTTCATGCTGTTCTTATTTCCAGAGGGCCTCATGCACCAATTCACCGCTTAGCTGTGTAAAATCAGCCAATCTATCTATCAGTTAATTTACTAAAACACCAACAATACCCAGAGAAACGATCCAAAGAATGATCAGCACCCACATCTGTTGATGCAATGCATGCCACCCTGCATGCCTGTCATCTCCTGCCTCAGCTTTGCTTCCTAAAATATTTACAAATCATCTAATCATGGCATGTGAGTGCAACTAGTTCTCCAGTCACTGTCTCCAATTTCTCTCTCTCCCTCTCTCATCTTGATCCTCTGGTACCTTGCGATGAAGTATAATTTATGGGAAAGTGTCCATTTGTGCACTCATTTTAAATTTTTTAAATTTCCAGAAACTATGAGATGAGTTGTTAACCCTTTGGCTCGGTACTATGGATATCGCAACCCTTCAGCCTTGATTCCATGATAGATATTGTAAATCTGGGAAAAATTTGGCTTTTCTGCCTACCCCCGGGCATGAACCCGGACCACAAGGAGTTTATCACCCGGTCACTGCGCAGTCAGGTTTAACCAACTAAGCTAGGCTTTGTGCGCTTCATAAACAGGGATTCACAGGGACTCTTTTATTCTCTCTGTCCATGGCTGGCACGGTCGGACTCTTCTTCTCTTCCCGCCTGTTCTCTTATTTCTTTAACACTGCCTGGTTTGTTGCCATCTAGATCAGTCCATTTATACTTCATTCTATTTATTCCAGCTGTGAAAGTAATCCCCCTCTGTTTACATCTTCATTGTCTAATAACTAAATGTAAAATAATACATATATATATCTCGTCTTCAGCATTCCTAGCCCTTAAAGTTTATTGTTGCAAATATCACCCACCTCCACTCATCTCTCTGGTTGGCCTTCTCTTTCCAGTTGGTGACACCAAGTGTTTGCAGTTCTGTCGGGACATTATCTCTCCATTGTCTTCTTGGTCTGCCTCGTGGTCTACGACCATTCATCTCCCTTGTGTATACAGTTTTCACTTCTCTGGCATTCTCTCAAAATGCCCCAACCATTTCAGTCTATTAGCTCTCAATATATATAATATTCCAAGCACAAAAGACTGTCCAACTGATTTCGCTTTGAACACTCAACTGCTCTTTTTGTTTTTTTTCTTACTGATACTGACCTTGGCACTCCAGATGAAAAGATCTTATGTGAAAGCAAGAGGTGGCCCTAGGAGACGATGGACTGATGACAATAAAAGCTTCTACATTGACAACAGCCATTGCTGCCCATCAAGTAAAGGATCGCAAACTATTCCTCCCAGCAACACTTAACGGCAGAAGTGGAACTTCATGATGATGTAATGGATGGCAAAATTACTGTTTCAGTTTCATGAGGTGAAAGGGTTAAATGTACATTTCTCCACCTTTTACATTAGTTTTATATATATAAAGTTCTTATTTTCTGTGAGATAAAAAATAGATCTCTCCAACTTCTACAACATTAGTTATATATATATAAAGTCATTTTTTCTATGAGATAAAATATAGATCTCTCCAACTTATACAACATAAGATATATATAGTTCTTATAAATTAGATAAAATAGATATGCCTCATTTTATATTGTGTTTTTAGATCAGTCTTAGAACTTTCACTTTTAAATAAAATTGTAGCTGCACTATCTGAGAAGAAATGAGATCTCAGTTTGAAAAAATATTTGGTCAAAGTCTGTCATGGAAGGCAGAGACAAAAATAAATGTTTATATTCAAAATAAAAGCAAAGAGATCAGTAAATGAATAAACTCAAATCATGGAAACATACTGAATACAGTCTAAACACTGTGGATTTCAATTGCCTTTGCCATTAGTCGATCAGTCATGGGGGATTGGGGCTTCCATAGTCTTCTTTCATTCAACAAAGCCCTAAAGGAAGAAATAACCAGGTCAAGCAAGCATATATGAAAAGTGTCTACATATCAGCATTAAGGCCTATTTCTTTGAGTCCTAAGCGGCGTCCGTGGCTAAGGCGTTGCGAGCCCGACCTGTAATCCAACTTACCGCGATCGCACAGGTCGACCCAGCCTCAAATGGGTACCAGGATGGCTGTCCTGGTAAGTAAAGACGGCCGGCGTAATGCTGACCACATTACCCACCGAGTGCCGATTGGTCTGTAAAAATATGGGTGTTCCTCCCATATGCCTGACGCGCCCAAAGGCGCTGAAAGGGATCTTTACTTTCTTTTTTACTTTGAGTTCCAGGGGGTTTAGCATCAGTGATCCAAAAGGTAGTAAAGGGAGATGTAAAAACTGGCACATTCATTATGCTTCTACATTGGGCTTCTAGGAATGAACCTATGAAAGTATGATGAATTAACTGCACATAAATTTTTTGTATTGATTTCAACAATGGTATGTTGACCATTAGGAACAATGGCAAACTTGTCGTTATTGTCGGCACCTTTCCATCTTTCCAGATGATAGTGCTATGAGGAGGCATGGAATTCGCAGCCCGTAGCGATGGTGAGTGTGACCACAAGTCCTGCCCATGTTAAGAAAAGTCTTCCATAATTATAGCACAGGCATACATGCCCATTTTTGCCATCATTTGTGTTTAGTGTGTTATTTCTCAGATGCTCCTTTATTCTCATTCCCTTCCTAATGTGACACACAGCCGGGTCCATGGCATTAAAAAAAATAACCTAGTAAAACCACAAATAGCTATCAAATGCTCAGGTTGGTCTACAAGTAAACTGTAAAGTACATGCAACTAACATTTTTGTAAAATTACAGAAAGAATTTGGAACAACAGGTAGTCAAGCAAATATGAAAAATGCTTACATTTAAGAACAAATGCTCAGTTACACACAGAATGTGGAATAGCCAGTAGTTTAAAAAATTAAGTTGAGTATCCTTTACAGGACGTTGCAGAAACAACCCCAGAAGTTTTGTGGGGCTGTTGTGGTTTTTCTAGGCAAATTTACGGTTCGGTAGTAAGACACTGATTCTTTATACCCCTGTCGAAAGCAATGCAAGACAGTCTGCTGCCAAATGGCCTGCAGCTGTGATCGAACCTGGCATGAAGTGCGTCCGCGAAGCCTAAGCCATAGACGCCGACCACAGAAGCATATATGAAAATATGCTTAATTATTTGAATAAATGCAATTTGAGCAAAGGATCAGGAATAACCAGTAGTCAAGCATATATAAAAATGACAAAATTTTCAAAGGAAGGGAAAACCCAGCTAGCCAGACATTTTTAATATAACCAGCCCAAAATGGAGCAGAGGAAATAACACAGTATGCACTGATAGTACATATATACAAGCAGATCACAGATGGTGTGCTGGGGCATAAAAAGTTCACCCGGAGCTAAAGGACAAAAATAAGGATATATTGAGGTAGTACATTATTACCTGGCAAGTCTGTGATGCTCCTTTTTGTGAGACTTGATGGCTGCTTGGATAAGAAAAATATTCACCAGGTCTCTCTGAAAAAAATTAATGTAACATTTTAATTACATCCTTCTGATATATATAATACCCGGCCACTCGTTGCTGTGGCATAGTTTGGCTAAATGGAAATGAAAGAAAAAGGAAATTGCACGTGTCTAATACAATCATTGTCTGCTCAGATATAGAGATAGTCTTTGATCCCCGCCCCCCCCCCACCCCACCCCCCCACCACAACTAAATCCACCTACTACTCTCTCCCTCATCAAAGGTTTTTGGAAAAGAAAGACAATGGAAATCGCACGTGTCTAATATAGTTAATGTCGCAATCATTCTCTGCACAGATATAGAGATAGTCTGGTTTTCCAACTTTAGAACACGCACCTTATAATTGTGTCTTTATATTAGTGGTCGTTTAAATGGTGTTATTAGCACAGTAACAAAAATGGTTATTTGGTTATCACATGCTAAAGCTGTTTGTATTTTTATAGGGGACGGAAGTAAAGCTACAACTGTACTTGTGAATAACAAAGTAAGTCATAAAAAATAGAAAAGCTGAGGTAGCGTTAGTAAAATATAAACAAATTAGGTAATGAGAACTTGAAAATCACGTGTAAAGCTCTTTAAGTTCTCTTAAATTTAAGTCATTACCCCCCCCCCCCCCCCCCCCCATCCTTTTCACTGACTACTGCTCTCTCCCTCTTCGAAGGATTTGAAAATCACTACCTGGCGATATTTTGTTGTTGTTGCTGTAACTGACATTGACATCCCTGTCCATCTGGACTAAAATAGGGAGCAGGAAAAGTAATAGGTAGTGAATAGGGCTAGTGTAATATTTACCACATCATCTTTCAAGTACCAGTACAACTACTAAAATAATGTCACTGCTATCTGTGTTACCATCGGAGTAGACAGAGAGTCGTGAGCCAGAAGATTTGGTTCCGCATGGCTAGTGCTGTCGCCACAGACTGGTCAGGTTAGGATGTATAATTTCACTTGCTGACAGAAGAACGCCATAACCTTACCGGCGGTCTTCACATGAGGGCACTATGGTGTAACAGCCCAACCACAACTATTACTACTGCTGCTACTTTAAGTGGGTAAAGCAGTTACTGTGACTTAAAGCTCTCTCAGTTAATAGTTTGCCCCCCCCCCCCCCCCCCCAAATTCACCGACAACTCTTTCCCTCATTGAAGTAGTTGGGAGAAAAAAAAAAAACTTGAAAAGCAAATGAACACAGGAAAAAAACACCATAATTAGGAAATGAACCCCATGGTAAACAGCACAGCTTAAAATTCCAACGCAGATGAAATAACTAAATCTAAATGAAAATCTATGAAAGTTCAGCGTAACCATGCAATCGGAAAGTTTAAAAATGCAATCATAAGTATGCGAACACTGTCTTCGCGACGTCGAGATAGTCCTTAATTGCCCCCCCCCCCCCCCCCCCCCCATCGAAGGTTGTTTGAAAAAAAAACAGAAAATATAAATCGTGTTTAATATGGTTATTGTGGCAAATATAGAGATAGTCTTGTTTGCTGTACCACGACCTACTCTATGTATTAGAGAAGGCGTTGGCTGCACGTAACTCGCCGGCGAATGGTAACTATGGCGCATGCGCAATTACTAACGTGGCTATAATTAGAAATCACTAAAGTTATAAATATTAGTTGCGAATATTATGGCATAAATTGTGGTCACCTATCTCTAACAGTGACAGGTTGAATTTCAAACCACGATGGTTCAAAATCCGGTATCAAAACAAACATATCCTGAAAATTTCAGCTAAATCGGTTCAGTAGTTTCCGAGTCTATAGGGGGCAAACAAACACACAAACATGTGATATATATATATATATATATATATATATATATATATATATATATATATATATAAATATATATATATATATATATATATATATATATATCAGAATAAAGTAATTAAAAAGTGCTGTTTATATATATATGACAGAGAGAGAGACAAGAGAGAGAGAGAGAATTATGTTTTCCAGTTGTGAATTCACATAATGTGGACACAAATAATAATTGCACAATCTATTGCCTGGCATATTTCACAGTATAGTATCTCATCTGGTCCATTACTAGAGAGTTACATCAACATGTAATGAAGCACAAACAATATTTTCAAAAGGGAGAATAACATAATGAGATGGGTGAACAGCTGTCTGACAGAGTGTACATCCAGGTTCTCAGCTGGCACTGCAGGGGGTTCAAGGACAAATGTGGCATGAGTGGATACCGAGCATCATCATCAGTTCTCGTTATGCCTAGTGGCACATAAGGCTTCAGAGAGGACTTTCCATGCTTTCCTGTCCTGTGCAATCTTCAGTGCAGTTTTCCATGTCAAAGATGCCGCACTCAGGTCACTTTCCATCGTTCGTCTCCATGTTGTTTTTGGGCGCCCCTGTTTTCTCTTTCCCTCTGGTGTCCATGTGAGAGCTGTTTTGGCAGGTATATCAGAAGTCATTCCCATAACGTGGCCAAGCCATTTCCATCTTCTCTTGGTAATCATACTGTCTAAAGTTTCTTGGTTTGTGGCTTGAAGTAGTTTAGTGTTTGAGATTGTATCTGGCCAGAAAATTTTGATAATTCTACATAGACATGTGTGGTTGAAGGTGGACAGCTTATGTGCATCCTTTTTGGTAATTCTCCAGCATTCCGCTCCATAAAGAAGAACTGGCACCGAGCATCAGCACATCAGTATTACATGGACTTGAGTGCGTATACTGTCCAAGAAATGCAGGAGTGCGAGGGAATGAAAGAGCAGATTTTCTGTCTACAAAAGCAATAGTTATGGGAAAACTTGTACTTGACAAAGGAGACATTCTGAAGACCATTTATGAACAAATCCTGACAGAAGACATGAGTTTGATGAAATAATATGGGCAAAGAATGTGTAAACGAGGAATTACAAGTGGATCCAGCAAGGAGGGATGTATGAGAGGAAGAGAACAAATTGTGCATAATCAGTTTTCTACAGGAACAGTTAGAATCCATCGACAACTTAAGACATTTGCTCTGGGAGATGGAGCATCTATTGGCATGCTTGGTGTGTTAGGATGTTGATTCTTAAATCAGTGTAAACAATCAGTACATCCAGGGCGATAGAAACAGCATGCTGCAGATCCACTGCAGCCAACCTTCATTGTGGGGATGGCACTAACTTATTGATTTTGGGTCATCTGGGTAAAGATTCAACATCATCATTTCCCTCCTGAACAGCCAGGGAAGAGTCTCCATAGGGAGGATTCCTACTGTCAACTGGGTAATTACTCGTCGTGCCCCCCCTCCCCTCCCCACATGAGACTCGAGACACTATGAGCCCATACACACTCCCCACTGCATCATTTTCTCCAGATACTGGTTTTCAATAGGAACAACCACCTGTCAAGCATTCATGGAAAATGTATTACTGTATTTCAGCAAGTGCATTTCTACAGTTATGTTAACATAGTTCAGTTAACATCTTTGTGCAAACTCTTAATTAGTCACTTTTACAGCATGCTTGCTAATTCTTTCTGTCCCAAACAACACACCTTGCGTACTAGATTTACTCATGTGCATCAGCTAACAGGGAGCCGCTGTGGTGTAGCGGTTAGATGCCCACCTGTGGATCGATAGCTTATGGGGTTTGGGTCCTGATGGAGTCGGATTTGTTTCAAAAATAACTTTTGGCTCCCAGGTCAACCCAGTCTTGAGTGGGTACTAGCTGCAGTCCTGGAAAGTTACAAGCGGTTGACGTGATGCTGACCACATCACTCACTGAGTGCCCACTGGTCTAAAAGAATAGAAGTCTAGCCCAATATGCCTAAAGGCGTGGGAAAAAGTGTTCTTTACTTCACTTAATTACCAGCCAACATTTTTTGTATCACTTGACATCTTAAGTTTAGTCAAACTAAATACAAAAAACAATAAAACAAACAAACACAAGTCACACACAATGTGTCATATTTGTGGACCCTGTGGATGTAGTATACCCATGCTTTTGCTGACATCTTTATTGCTTCAATCAGGCATTAGCTATAATTTTCTAGCACTAAAACAGTTGAGGGGCAGAGAGTATCCCCCCCCCCCCCCCCCCCCCTCCCCCAAATATGGCCATGGAACCAACACAGAAAAAACATTTGCACAGGCACAGAGCAAGTATGGGAAAACCCGATTGATGTTGAAACCTTGACTAAGACTAAGATAGAAAGAACAAAAGAAATCAAATGTTTTCAGACACACTCACCTGTGCATGGCTGCCACCTATCAGGTGAACCTTGTACCGAACAGGGTTGACATAATCCACTGCAGCAGCATAATCACCATCATTGTACGCCACAAACGCTTTCAACAGAACTTCACCAACTTCAGCGGTGACATCCTTGTTTGTTCCCTGTTCTTCTCTAAATCCCATTACATATTAAAAAAAAAAAGGTCAACTTAAGTAATCCTGCAGCAGACACTTTACTGAAGACGTCAGTCTCTAAGGATATTGTGTGAGGTTTGTGTAGTGTATGGTGTGTCTTCTTCTTCTTCTTTGCGTTCCCCGAATGTAAACTTCTGTGGAAAGTTCTGGTTGTTTGTCCACCTCTGGACTTTAGTTTTGTTAAAGAGCCTGAGTATTGTGTGCACATCTGTTTAACAGATCTGACTAAACTGTATGTAGACTGTTAGTTCCTTGCCTCTCAGGCAGATGCATTCTGACTTCGAAGGAAAGCCCCCAATTAGTCAACACCTACGATATGATTGGTAGGGAGACAGTGAAGCTTTTCTTGCCCTCCCCACGATGGAGCCCCGGAACCCATACAGGGGGTATGGTGTGTGTAATGTGGTGTTAGTTAGTTGACAGAACTATCCTCACTGTACATTAACTATTTGAGTCCCAAGGAACGCATCATACGTTCAGAGGTTCTGACCTAGAAGCCCAATGAACGCAAGATGCACCGATTTTATGACTCTCTTTACTACCCCCTGGGCCTGTGATACTAAACCCCCTGGGACTCAAAGAGTTAAACAGTTCATAAGTGCTCGGATCCCCCCGTCAGTAAATCCTGCAGCATGTAGCAGTGGACGACACAAATTTTTTTTTCGTTTTTAACTCCTCTTTGGCTTCCTATACACAGTGATCTTGTCTGTTCTTGCAGAATGGTCATGGATTCACAGTCCCTTGGTTTTGCAAACCTCTTACTTCTCATAGTATATCAGTATATCAGCCTGGTCCATGGCTCGCCTGCCCTCCATAGTAGCTTTACCTGCAAGCCCGTCAGCTTGCTCATACCCTTGCATACCTGTGTGCCCTAGTATGAAAATGTAACTGATCTTTGTCAGTCCTCCCAATGTTGTGAGGGTAGTGTATGGTGTGTGTAGAGTGTGTGAAGTATGGTGTGTGTAGAGTGTATGATGTGTGTACAGTGAATGTTGTGTATAGTGTGTAGTGTATGATGTGTGTAAAGTGTATGGTGCATGTAAAGTGTATGTAGAGTGTATGGCGTGTGTAGAATGTATGGTGTGTGTAGCGTGTATGGTGTGTGTAGTATATGGTGTGTGTACAGTGTATGGTTGTGTAGCGTGTATGGTGTGTGCATGTAGTGTATGTGTGTAGTGTATGGTGTGTGTGCGACTAGGTCAATATCCTGGATGGAATCCAGTCCGGCAACTTTAGCCTCTCTCAGCAACGTTCGTCTTAGGGTTTCTTTTGGGCATCCTCACCTCCTTAACCCCTTTACTTCCCATGTTGATGCCTGTTTGGTGATTCTCCGCTGATTTCTTCGCAGCACGTGTCCAGTGCAGTACCATCTTCTATGCCTTATAAATGTTGATACCAGTGGTTGCCCAGACATTTCTTTCTTTACTCCTTCTGAATTCATCCCATTTTTTTTTTCATCATTCTTCTCAGACATTTGTTTTCAAATGCATTTGACTGTTGCTCCATGTCTTTAGTGGTTCTCCAATTTTCTGTAGTATGAGCAGTTAAAAATTTAACCCATACAATAACCCACCCTGCATCTACTGAGACATTAGGGTCATAGCTTAATGGACATGGTACAATCCTTGGGGCAGAAAGAGTTTACTGGCACTCAAAGGGGGATGTGGTAAATGCCGAGTCGGCCTCATAACATCCCACACAAACCATTTCAAGTTTCCATTTTAGGCGGGTCTGACCGGGTCAGTTTGAGTGCAACTTCCTGCTTCCACGAGGATCTAAATCCATGAAAACTGACAGGAAGCAAGCAGGAATTAAAACTAGTCCACAGAGGTGTAGAAAAAAAGGAAGACCAAACAACAATAAAAACACATGAAGAAAGAAGCTAGAGAGTGAAGTTAAAAAGATAGGGAGGACATGTGAAGAGCTGCATGCAATAGCGAAGGATAGAACAATTTGGCGTAAGTAGGTTGAAAGCCTATGCTCCTTTGGGGTTACAAAGGCAGAAGAAAGAAAAAGAAGATTTTAAAGAACGCTTTCTGTTTCTGAAATTAGGAGACGATAACAAGACGGAAAAAACACCAACCTGATATAGTTTTCGATAGATGCTATCATCTCTGCAATGGCAGACTTCTGGTTTGCTCCCAGGCAGGACATCAGGATGTGCAGATCATTGAATGCCAAGACATGGTCATGAAGATGGCTCTTGTACAGATCACAGACTTGGTCCCATCTACTCCCAACGTCAATGCCTGTAGGACAGTAATAGTAATATCACTTTGTGTGTTGTACTACAATGTCACATTTTCAAGCTCTTTGCTCTATAAATACAAGCACTAGTCTTTGTCTGCTCCACCAATTCAAGAATTCAAGTCTGTCTCTTCTGCAAATGCAAGCATTCAGAATCATTGTATGCCCTGCCCACCCCCATTTCAAATATATACATGCATTGTCTGATCCACTAAAGATTTCATCATTTGGTCTGCCTCATCAATTCCAGCTTTCATTCATTTTGTCCTCCCTACTAATTCAAGCTTTCAAATGCACCACTGGGTGGTGAATTGATACATGACAAGGCAGATATGGTCAAGACCCTTTGGGAACAAGCAAAGGAATCAGTAGAGAAAGAAGATTATTGGCCTGGAGAGAATGAGACAGCTAAGTGTAACCAGAGGGTCTGGCTGGCTCACTACACTCAGAGGAAAGGCAAGACGGACATATAACCGGATTGCGACCAGTACCATCAATATTGGAACTCTATGCTGGCTGTTGAAGATGGGGACAGAGTGCTGTGATGTCAATTCTTGACTCAAATCAACTCCCAGCTTTCACTCATTTTGTCTGCTTCACAAATTCAAGCTTTCAATAATTTTGTTTGCCCCAAGAAAACAAGCTTTCATGTAAAAGTAAAAGTAGACAAATAAAGTTTTTTTTTTTTCAAAGTCAAAGTGCATCTGCTTGAGAGGCAAGGAGCCAACAGTCTGCATACAAATAAGCCAGATCCGTAAAATGGATATGCATGCAAAGTTCTTAGTTCTACAACAAGACCAAAGTCCAGAAGTATACGGACAATCAGAACCTTCTGCCGGAGTTTAAAGCTGGTGAACATTAAGAAGAAGATTTATCTACTTCCAAGTTATGGGTCTTGTGGTGGCCAATGGTCCAAGGCGGACTGGATTAGTAACAAACACATATATGATTATATACATAAAAACATAATCAACAGCATGCACTTAAGTACACACACATACATACATATATAGGCTTTAACTCACCTTCCATTTCCAGCCTAAACAGAAGTGAGCAGACATCCACCATATCTAGCATAGCGCCAGATTTTTCTGCCCTGCGTGAAATTTGCTTGTCAAAAAGAGACAAGGCAGACTCATAGTCTCCCTGGGAAACATTCAACAGGTAAACTTTAATGACTTTCAAACATGCAACAGGAATTGTGATCTGGAGCAACTGCACAACAATATGGAAACAGAAAGAAAACAAGCTGAGACCAGACCTTGTCAAGAGCAGTTCAACAACTACCAACATTCAAAGGCCAAATTTCAAACAGCCAAACTGCAGGCTAGACGGACAAGCTGGCAGGAAAAAGACAAAGTCTCTAAACTTTGAAAGAGACACAAGGAAGTTGTGGAGGCTAATTAAACAAATTAATGATGAGAGTACAGGAAGAAATGGTAATATTGCACTATGCAAAGAAGGAGCCATCCTAACAAGAAAACAGGCAGCTAACCACTTTGCAGATTCTTTTGCCGAAGACAGCAACATTAATGTCAGCCCAGAGAAACAGCGAGAGGTTCGAGAGAATAAACAGCATACAAGACAAAATGATATAATTCCTGAGGCACTGGTGGCAGCATTTACATCTAGCGAGTTAGAGTTAGCAATTTCAAAGCTGAGAATAGGAAAATCACCTGGAACTGATGGAATCACCAACGAAATGATCAAGAACCTTGGACCAACTGCCAAAATAAAGCTGCTACAGATCTTTAATCATTGTTGGACCAGTGGCAAGGACCAAAACCACATTGCAAGAATTAGACAAAGTGCAAAATCAAGCACTCAGAGTTCCCACAGGCAGTATGAAATCAACACCTATAGCTGTGATGGAGAAAATGGAGATGACCCAAGCACTGAGTGAACACAGAGACACCAAGATGCTTTTACAAGCAGAAAAGTCACCTTATGAATGAAAGACTCCAAAATTTAGCTTTGGGACGACTAAAGAGAAGTAATTTTATCCACCAGGCCAAACGGCTCGGCAGACAAACCACTGATTTGCCAGCAACTGATAGATCCTTAAATGCTGTCCCAGAACGGACCCCTGGAGAAAGGAGTTTAAGTTTCCAATACACATCAAGACTGAAGCGAAAGGGGTATGTGACAAGGAAGAACAAAACAGTGTGCAGCGCAAAACAGGCACCCTCAGTCTACTTGATGATGAATACCCGCAGAATCTTTGGGTCCGTGTTTACACAGATAGGTCAGCAGAAAGTGCTGTCAGAAACGGAGTTGCAGGAGTGTACATTGAGTATCCTAATAATACCAGGGATTCAGCCAAAATACCAACAGGAAAGCACTGTCACAACTATGATACAGAAGTTCAAGCCATCAAGATAGCAGTATAGAAACTACTAAATACAGGGTATTTTTCACAACCAGTGGTATTCCTGACAGATGCAAAAGCAGTACTTCAGTCACTCCAGTCTGGAAAATTACCAAGCATACGGACACTTTTATCCAAACTAGGCAAACATTGTAATTTAGTAATGCAGTGGATATTTTCCCACTGTGGAGTTCCCAGAAACGAAAGAGCTGATAATCTAGCTAAGGAAGGTGCAAATGAAGAACAACCCGACACACCAGTCTCTTATCAACAGAAGAAGAGAATGATCAAATCAATCAGAATGCCACTGAAACTGGCACAAGACGATTACCATAATATGGACAGACCAAAGCAAGTCATTATCCTTCACCTTAGAACAGGGCACAATCGACTTCGCTGCCACATGTACAACAAATTTAAGATTGGCCAATCAGCCATGTGTACCTGTGGACTGGCACCTGAAACAACAGATCACATCCTTCAAGACTGTCCCAGATTCAACGCTTTCAGGCAAAACGTTTGGCCAAAAGAGACACTTGTGGAAGTCAAACTTTACAGGCCGCTTAGTGAATTACAAAAGACAGTGAAATTCATACTAGAGACAGCATTGCAGATATAGATCATTTATTTCATGCGAACGAAAGAAGAAGAACAACAACAACAACAACAGGTAAACTAAACTTACTTTAAAACATACAATACACAAACTTAAATGACTTTTAAATACACAACAGGTAAACCTAATTAATTTGATTTGATTCAAGAGCCGACAACACAGCGCTTGGGGCATTCCCATAAGCGCTCCGTCCCCATCTTCAGCAGCCAGCGAAGAGTTCCGATACTAATGGTGCCAGTAGCTTTCTGATTAAACGTCCGTCTTGCCTTTCCTATGAGCCTTGAGCTTCTGCCAGAACCTCTCGTCACCCCCAACTGCATCAATCTCACCAGACTGTGGTGATCCATCTGCTCCTCCGCATTGTACACGCTCTCCCACAAGGCACTAACCACGTCTGCCCTATCATGTAGCAGTATTCCACCAAGTTGTGCAGAGCCAGCCAGTCTGTCCGTCTGTTTATTTCCCAACACACCGGCGTTACCCGGTGAAAAAATCCAGACAATACTCCTCACTCGTGTCCTCCGCAGCGAAGCATGCCACTCTGCATGAAGCATACCTGTTCTGATCTTCCTCAGCATGCTTTCTGAATCAGTTACAATTACAATGTGTGTGAGTATCATGTTCTCTAGCCAGCGGAAAGCTGCAGTGACCGCCTCCACCTCCATTCTTAAGCTGGATGTTGTGGTATCATATGCTAGGCTCTCTGGCACCAAACGTCGACCATTAACTTTTGCTAAAAAGCCCCAAACACTTCTTTTGCCTCTTGACAGGTAAACTTAAATGACTTTCAAACATACAATAGGCAAACTAAACTTACTTTAAAACATACAATATACAAACTTAAATGCCTTTTAAACATACAACAGGTAAACCTAAATGACTTTCAAACATACAACAGGTAAACCTAAATGACTTTCATACAACAGGAAAACTTAAATGACTTTAAAACATACAACAGGTAAACTGAACTTTAAAACATACAACAGGTAAACTTAAAGGACTTTAAAACATACAACAGGCAAACAAAACTTACTTTAAAACATACAATCTACAAACTTAAATGACTTTTAAATATACAACAGGTAAACCTAAATGACTTTCAAACATACAACAGGTAAACTTAAATGACTTTCAAACATACAACAGGTAAACTTAACTTTAAAACATACAACTGGTAAACTTAAAAGACTTTAAAACATACAACAGGCAAACTAAACTTACTTTAAAACATACGATATACAAACTTAAATAACTTTGAAACATACAACAGGAACTCTAAACTTAAACAAACTTAAATGATTCTTAAACATACAGCAGGCTAACTTAATTGACTTTAAAACATAAACCGGCAAACAAAGCTTACTTTAAAACATACAATAAACAAACTTAAATGATTTTAAAATATACAAGAGACAAACTTAACTCCCTTTGAACATACAACAGGCAAACTCAACCAATTTAAAAATATACAACAGATAAACTGAAATGACTTAAATATAGAATAGATAAATATAACTGCTTTACATACAGAAGGCCAATTTTACTCATTTTAAACATAACTTTAAAACATACAACAGGCAAATTTAAACCACTTTAAAACTATGTCACTTATAAGAGGATTTACTGACATAATTTATAAAAAGCAGTCACAGCAAGGCCACTAGATCGGCCTTGAGAGCGCCTTGCCTTGGGGTGAGATCTGATGAATGGCCCTGCCGTGTCTGAGCTTTGTCATAAGGTCTGCCTGCAATGTGTTATCGTCTGGCACCAACAAGGCCAAATGGTATGCGACCACAGAAATGACATGTCCCATACGCAGAGCTAAGCAGCTGCTCGAGCATGTACTGTCCGCGTGCAGGAAAGCCCTAGGCCAGAAACGATATACATGGCACCACAAGGAAGTCCTGAAAGAGCTAGCGGACATTGTGGATAAAGCCAGTCCTACCATCCCCGCTCCCCCTCTTTTACCCCATACGCTTCCTCAAGACTTGAGAGATCTTTTTAGATAAATTCAACAAAGTCACATATGCTCCATCGATACTTGACTGTGCGAGGGACTGGTTACTGGCGGTCGACCTGCCTGGTTTTCAGAAATACCCTGAATCAATCCAAAAGACTGGCCTGAGACCAGACATTGTTCTGCATTCAGCGACAAAACGCCAGCTCATCCTGATAGAGCTTAGCCTGCCGTGCAAGTCGCGGATAGAGGAAAATAATTTGTATAAGCTCAAAAAGTACAGTGAAATAGTGGCCAGTCTGAGAAGCAATGAAGCGTATACAGTAAAACTCTTCGCCCTAAAGGTAGGCGCAAGAGGGCTTATCTACACCTCAGTATACAATGTACTAAAGCACCTGGGTTTGTGAGGCAAAGAGCGTAAACGGACACTAAAACAGCTGGGCGAAGCAGCTGAAAGGGCTTCGAGCTGGCTGTGGTTACAAGGGAACGTCTCAACAGACTATATATATAAAACTAAACTTCACAATACCAGTTGCAAAACCACCATTTTGTCTTGTCCGTATGTCTACTAATGCGCAGCAGGGGATGTCCAAGGCCTAGCATCATGAATCAGGTCGGCCAACCCTCTGAGATTGTATGGGAGGTTAATAGGCCGAAACAACTGTCATGGAGGGACCCTTTTACTGATGATCGGTAAAAACCCCTGCTGTGCCTGCTTCCCTGTGTTCTTCTTATAGCAACAGTTCAACAAGTGGGCAACAGTTTTAAATTATCTTTCATTAGGAGGTGAAACAGATTATTCATTTCAATGCTCTTGGTCAACAGAAGTATTCCATATATCGCTGAATATACAAGAGACTCTCTAATTCTCATCAGTAATGAATAATATCTTCTTGTGCTTCTTTGTTCACTGGCTGCAAGCCATTTCCATCTTTCCTTTGTTATCATACTGTCTAGAGTTTCTTGGTTTGTGACTTGAAGCAGTTTAGTGTCTGAGATTGTATCTGGCCAGAAAATTTTAATAATTCTACGCAGACATGTGTGGTAAAAGGTGGATAGCTTGCGTGCATCTTTTTTGGTCATTCTTCAGCATTCTACTTCATAAAGATAAGAAGAACTGGCAAAATTATGCTTTCGTAGAGTCTGAGTTTTTTCCTCTGCAGTAACAGTTTGATTTCCAGATTTGCCTCTTCCTTCCAAAAGCGGCTCTAGCTTTGTTCAAGCGTGACTGTACTTCAAGCCTGATTGTATGTCTTTCTCTGTCTCTCCTAGTAGGGACACTACACTGCCAAGATATGTGAACTGTTCTACATTTTCAAGTGTTTGGTTATTTATGGTCACTGATTGATTGTTTGGACTGTTTGTCATGATTTTAGTTTTCTTTGTATTTATTCTTAGTCCTACCAGTTCTGCTGTGCAGCATAGTCTGCTACTTTTCTCTTGTATATGTGTTTAGTGTTTAGTGGATGATAACCAGAACTTTGTCCTGGACATTAAAGATGCTGGTGAATATTAGGAAGAAGAAGAGGTTCTTTATTAATATACTACCCCAGATGATGTCACAGGACAGTCCAACATTTTAGAGGGTGGTAAGACTGGGTTTCCCAGGTTTCTGATGCCCCAAAACATCTAGAACTGGCTCTAACCCCAACCCACCTACGTCTGACGAGAGAGTGCAGCCTAGGTTCCACGAATGCATGCAGCCTAGGTCCCACGACTGTATGCAGCATATCTACCACCCCCTAAAATATCAGACTATCCCATGACCTGTGGATTTCCCCTGTTTGGGGTAGGATATTAATAAAGCACCAAAGAAGATATTATGTAATAAAATAAACTGATATTCCACTAGTAACAACTAGGCCTCAACATCAGGGAAAAAACATACCACCCCTAACTAGAAACTTACAAGTTCAATATAGTAAAGAGCCCAGTGCCAGTGGTTGTGACAGGCCAACATTCCACAAGTCTGCAATAAAAAAAAACAGTCAGTTTAAGAAAGAAGCAAGTTCCTTTCTGAATTTGAACAATCCTAGCCTTTATGAATTAAAACTGTAATGAGGGAATTCCAAGACAAGCCCCAAATTGCAATAAACATTTGACTGATTCTAGTGGGTGTGGTTTACATCATTGTGTTCTAACTCTCTTAACAACATGACAGAAGTTAGAAACATGTCCAGGCAGGTCCAGTTGGAAACCAGGAGCACCATCATTCCAAAAATAGTCATCACCAACCATCCTGCTGTGCATCATGTTTTTGTAGCATGACTGGCACTCAAAGAGTGATATCCTCACTTATCTTATTATGCTACATGTCATTTTAACAAGTTAATAATCTAGGGCTTAACCATCTAACAGTAGTTTAAAAAAAAAAGGACCACTAAAATATTTTTCTGAATTTTTTTAAACAACGCTCTCATCCACAAAGCATGTGCGCGCAAAATGTCAGCCTGACAGCTTATCGGGAAGTAATATAAAAATCTAACGCAAAAATTATCCCAGACCTCCAAACAAAACTAAACTCAATAAAAGCTTTAAAAAACAACAAATAATTTTAAAATATCCTCCTAATATACAGAATAAAGGCTGGGTTGGTTTGTCATACCATGAAAACAGGTTTCATGGGAGGACGGAGCTCAAACTGGTCAGAGTAATGTGCCAGGATGTTGATACAGATAACAAGTAACAGACCCTCCTAGCATCCCCCCCCCCCCCCCCCCCCCCCTGCCTCAAATGGGGCGCCAGAACTCATTTGAGGCAACTGGAAAACTAAATGGCAAAAGTACAAGGGGAAGACAAAGAGACCTGGCTGTCTTGGTCACGTGATATAATCAAGACACTAATACAGATCTGACTGTGTGTGATGGTAAACTATGATTGTATAAACTAAACTGCAATACTTATTATGATGATAATGAAGAGGATTATGCAAAGCCTAGGTCTCTTCACTGGAACCCACACAGCAAAAGAGATAGAAGATATAAAAATACGTAATTAAAAAAAAAAACTGCCAATATGGGACACAATTCAAATTTGAAAGAGCTTGACTTTTTTTTAAATAAATGACCTTGGCTCACAGGTCGACCCAGCCTAAAATGGGTACCAGGTAAAGTCCTGGGAAGTTTGGGCAGCCAGCATGATGCTGACTACACCACCCATCAAGTGCCGATTGGTTCGTAAAATATAGGTCTAGCACTATACGCCCAACATGCCTGAAGCGGTGGAAAAGGGTCCATTATAAGGGAAATATGTGAGGGAGATAGCAAAAGACTGGATGGCTTGAGTCTATGCTCCAAAAGAGGATAAGTAATCTAGATCCCACCTGCAGAAGGAATTAACTGGAACTGATGATAATGATGAAGGTGACAGAATCAGAGAATTACTAAATGAATTGCTTTTCACCGATGACCAGGTAATCATAGCCCCAACAGGAGGATAACTACAAGAACATATTAACAGATTCCACTCAGAATGTGACAACTATGATATGAAGATCAACACAGACAAAACAGAAGTGATGAAATTCTCCAGAAAAGGAAGAACCACCAGTATCAAAACTGATGAACATCAGTTAAAGAAGGCGAAGGATTTTACATTATCTTGGCAGCATTTTTTCAAAAGATAAAACAATTAATAAAGAAATCCAACATGCAATCAAGCAAATCAAGTTTTAGGCCCTAAAATGGGATGGTACATGCAAGCAGGCGAATATGAACATCACTGTTCAACATTATATTCTTACCAACACTGCTATCAATGTCCAACATGGACACTGTCTTCAGAAGACAGAAAGAAAAGAGACACGACAGAAATGAAATATTTACGTACTATGCTAGGTGTAACGAGGAAAGATTGACTCAGGAACAATGATATCAAGAGGAGAGCCAGCACAGAACCAATACTGAACTTTATAGGTAAACAAAAAATCAAATGGTCTGGCCATGTAACAAGCTTGGCATCAGACAGGGCCCCACAGAGAGCAATGCTATACACATACAATGGTTCCAGAGATCTCTTCCTGCCCTGATGCTGCGAGGCATTAAAGGAGTAGAAAAATGATAATGAGACATACTTACTGTCCAATACTTGTTTGTTTTCTCCATCATATAAATCCCTTCATGTTGCCGCCCAGTCATTTCCATCACGTGGCACAGTGTGTGGGTGGCCCATGCATCATTGGGATTTATAGATAAGGCCTGAAAAAAAAAAAAAATATTAAAGCAATGTTTCCCTGTTGTCAATGTGCAAACCAATATTAGTTCTACACCACTCACAAACTCTAAGTACAGACACATGTTCCCATCAAATACATACTGGTTAATGTCTATGCTGTGTCCAAAAACATTCTATAACCTAATTATATTTTTAATAACTGTCAAAAATAATCCAATTATTACAAAATTTTGTACAAATGATGGCCAAATGTTAACCTACATTTTGGATATTTTAATTGGTGATCAAAATATCCACCGCCGGCTGCAACATAGGTTTTTAGTCAGGTTAGCCACTTTTCAGATGTACCTTTATGATGTTTTCATTTAGCTCACAGTCCATTTTCAGCCGCTGCCTTTGCGACGCTTAACACTGGCGATTTCGTCATCTTTTGCCAAAGGTATGAGAATCTGCTTAAATCCAGCCTTTGTTTGAAAATTCTTTGAGAATTCGTTTTGCACCATTAATTATTTTTTCCCCTAAAGAATTGTTTCCTCACTTTGTTCTTTATTAATTAACAGGATTTAAAAGCAGACAAATCAGCAATCAAGAACATGTGGTACAATGCCACCTAAAGGCTGGGAAACTCACTGTGATGATAAATTTGTGGCATGAATTCAAATTCTAAAAAAAGGCATTCTCATTGACATTTGTACCAAATTTTATAATAATCAGATTCCCCATGCGGGTTTTGGGGGCCAATTGTAGGGAAAACAAGAACAGACCCACTGCCTTCCCAAAAGGCATGTCGTAAGAGTGGACTTAGTGGCAGCATCCTTTAAAGTCGCAGTGCATCTGCCTGAACAAACTTTATTTTCAAAGGGTTACAAATTAGGCACGCAGGCCTGTGCAAGGAACCAACAATCTGCATACAATTAAGTCAGACCTGTTGAATGGATGTGCACACAGCACTCAGGTTCTGGAACAAGACTAAAGTCCAGAGGTGGACAAACAACCAGTACTTTATGCTGGAGTCTACAGCCAATGAACCTGAAGAAGAAAATAATCGGGTGATTTGTTTACAGAGTTATTTTATTGGGCATAGAACTGTATCTTCCGTTTAAAAAAACTACAAGATGCATACTGTAGTGGTGCACCAGGACCAGAGCTCAAACTGGTCAAGACCGATCCTCACATCTCTATGGTCATCCTAGAAACAGAGGTTTCCTACTGAGACCTTAATCAAGTGTCTTGCCAGCTGGCGCAGGCATTCATGCATCTCCACAGATCTAGGTCTTTAGTGTTCTGGATCAATTCCACTTATGATATTCCTCCATGCTACTGTCTTGAGCCCTTCACCATCATTTCTCTTGGTCTGCCTCTGCTCATTCGTTCTTCTACCAGTTATCTTTCCAGTCTTTACGATATTTTCCAGTGCTCCTTATCTCATCATATGACCAAAGAACTTTGTCTTCTTTTCATTGTTGTAAATTATGCTCTACTTTCATTAGCCATATCCAGGCAATCATTAAGGCCTTGGCCAACAAAAACAGAATCAATATTTCCATCAATGCATCTACCTGAAAGGTGAGTAACCAACATTTGGCATACAATAAAACATACATGTAATTTAGATGAGCACACAAATCTTGAGTTCTGGTACAAAACCAAAGTCTATTCATAGATAAACAACCAAGATTTTCTGTCAGTCACAGTTGGCAAAAGCAGAAAAGGCAGAAGAAGAAGAAGAAGAAGAAGAAGAAGAAGAAGAAGAAGAAGAAGAAGAAGAAGAAGAAGAAGAAGAAGAAGAAGAAGAAGGAGAAGGAAAGGCCTTTTGGAATTATTTAGCAGAGTATTAAGAATTTTCTGGCAACAGAAAGTAGTGAGGAAGAGAGCAATGCCCCCGTGTTCTTTCTTCTTGACATACTTAATGTTCAGGCTTGACACTTCAGCCTTTACAACTGTCTTTACTGTAGATTTATTGATCAACTTGCATACACAAACCTTTCTGGCAACTGTTTCTGCTTCTGGGTATAAGTTTGTCTCTTCCAAGCCAAATGAATGCATGCCAAGCACATACCTAGGGGGCATATACAAAAGACAGAATTACAAGGTTACTTGCAGCAGTTACAAGGGTCATCTGATACTGATCTCAACCTATTCTTAGCCAATCTGTAGGAATGGTTTATGTTAACAAACCATCAACTAGGTTTAGAGATTTGAGAAAAACATGAGTTAAGAACCAATATCACAGCATTTGTGACATTCAAATAAACACTCCATCTGCATCTTCAGCAGCCAGTGTAGTGTTCCAATAGTAATGGTTCCAGCTGTAGTCTTATTATATATTTATCTTCCCCATGTGAGTTCTGGTGCACCACTCTCTCTGTGAATGTCCTGTCTGTATGTCTGTCTGTGTGTGTGTGTGTGGGAGGGGGGGGGGGGAGAACAGATATACAAATATCAACCTAGTGTCCCTTAACAAGCCATCATCGGCCACCGGGTCGTCTATCTGCTGGCCGGTAGATGACTTCATATTCGTGCAGGACAGTATTTGGGTCTGTCTCTTTTGTTTGTACCAACACTGCAAGAGTCCTGTTCAGGGCTACAAGCTAGCGAGCAATGCTAAGCCATGTTATATGGCGCACATAAACCTAGTCACCATTATAACCAAAAGCTCCCCTCTTCGGAAATGCTGGTTGAACGTGATGCCCCCCCCCCCCCTTTTCCGCAACCGAGGCAAAGCAAACCTCAACAAGCATGCTATTAACAGGTGACTAATTAGGAGTTTGTTGTTCCTCTGAAGTCGGAGCCCATCTGCCAGACAGGTGAGGAACCAACAGTCTGCACACAAGTAAGCCAGATGTGTAAGATGGATGTGCATGCACAACTCAAATTCTGGAACAAGACCAAAGTCCAGAAGTGGATGAAAAAAACCCAGAACTTTCTGCCAGAGTTTACAGCCAGCGAATGCTAAGAGAAGAAAAAAAACTGTCATATGTCACTGGCTATTACGCACGTCTCTCTAGCGTAGTTGGCTAAACCGGATTGCGCGGTGAGCGGGTGACGAACTCCTTGTGGTCCGGGTTCACTCCCGGGGGTGGGCAGAAAAGCTACATTTCTCCCAGATTTACGGTATTTAAAATGGAATGAAGGCCGAAAGGTTGCGATATCCATAATACCGAGCCTAAGGGTTAACAACTCATGGCTTCTGGATACTAAAACAAACAAACAAACACTTGCTATTTTTGTGAATCCCAAATATCAAATTATGTGTTCTCTAACTGTTTACATTTTGTTTCAGCATACAATAGAATCAAGAAAGGGGATGAAATCAGCAAAATATCTGGACAACCTTTAGTATCAACTGTTTAGAAAAAAGAAAGAAAGAAGACCCATTAGATAAATTTTGAGGTAAATTTGACAAAGAATCACAAAACAACCCTGAAATGGGAAACAAATGGACCGAAGTAGAGCAAACATTGAGAAAAAAAAATTTTAATGAAAGAGACTAGAGGTGCTGGACTAGACTCCATATAAAATAAAATAAAAAATAAAAAAACAACTGCACTTGAGAGACGGGAATGGGGCAATCAACTGTGACCTAAAAATGGCACAATAAGTTTAAAAAAAAAAAAAAGAATGGATTTTCAAAACAATGTTAACCCATAGAAATGAATTAATACTACAAAAATCTATTATGTAAAATGTATTTTGCCTATTTGAAAGTATTGCAACTGTGATGTTTCACTGTGACTATTTACTCTCTTAGATATCTATTGTGTAAAGGCTCTGGGGAAAAAGTGGTAATATGCTTTAATGTTGTTACTTTACCTACCCATACAAGGGATGGGTTCGCTTCCAGTAGGGTAAAACCCTGGCAATGCTGTCTCTTATTTGGTATGAATGCCCCAAGTAGAAGTAAGTATCATGAGCAAACTTGAGTGCCAAAATATCATGAGGATGTTCTAGCAGTATATCCTCCCAGACACTGCAGGCTTGTTCCGTTGAGCTAGGATTAAAAAAAAAAATACATCTCTGTTGTAAATATTCAATTCCTAATCCTTCCAGAGCAAAAGATTGAACCTAAAAATCACTTAACAGATAACTAAGGTCACTATCGATTATGCTGTCATGCATTTTGTGTTAGGGACATCTAGGTGTGCAAGGAAATAAAAAGGCTGACAGATTTGCCGCTTCCACTCCTTTAGGTGGGGGCCAACATTATGATAAGGTGGACATGGTGAAGGCTCTGTGGAATCAAGTGGATTGTGCAGGAAAATAGAGTATTCATACCTGGCAGAATAGATTCAGTGGGATATGTGTACATCAGTGTTTTTCAAGTGGTGGCCCTTGGGCCAGATTTGGCCCACACCTAGCAAATGGCATGTGGATCTTTGCCAGATGTATTATGTTAAAGATCTTTCTATGCTGAGGTGCGTGTCTCTGGCCCATGTTGATCTTCATTTTCAAAATGTTGGCCCCTGAGTAAACTTAGTTGAATAACCCTGATTATATGATTTGGATGACACTCTTCTAATTCTTCTTTGTTAACTGACGGTAAGCTCCCGTATAAAGTCCTTGTTGTTTGTCCATCTGGACTTTTGCTTTGTGCCAGGGCCTGAGTTTTATTGGCTTATTTGTGTGCAGTTCGTTGTTCTTTGCCACTCTGGCAGATGCAATACGACTTATAATGATGTCCCCAATTAGTTGATTTCTACGACATGCTTGTTGGGGAGACAGTGGGTCTATGCTTGTTTCTGCCACAATGGGGTCCTAGAACTCATATGGGAGTGTTGACTTTGATGACGGTATAACTGACACTTTTAGCCAAAATCCTAGGAATGACAACTTATAACCTAATAAACAACAACAAATTAACTATGTGTCAGCTTACATAAATGGCTAATGCATTACAACATACACTCTATAACAAGGTAAGTTACAATAAACTCTTTAATCCACTGCCTCAAGTCTGGCAACATAAAAACCAAAACACTGTTAATTTCCCCATACCCTTTAGCCCACAGTTCCAGTGCTGCAACATGATTTCTTTCCCTGGTGGAGATCTTATCTGAACTGATACTTAAACGTATCATTTTCTGTACATCAGCTTCAAGGGCTGAATCCAACCTTACATTTCGTCCAGTTCCAAGCAGTTCTAGACCATTAGCCACCACATGGCCCATAACTGTGAAGAAGACACAAATTATTCAGCAAGTAAACATTCACATCAAGACTAAAAGTCTATGTGATCATGAGTAAAAGCAATCAATCAAATAGGAAACTTTAGATGCAAAGTCCACCTACCATAAGCACATCACAATCATAATCCCACGTGGTTTCCGAGGCCCCACTGTGGGGGAAAACGAGAATTAGAACAGACCAACTGCCCCCTTACAATCAAGTTGTAAAAGTTGACTAATCATGGGTGTTTCTTTCAGACAGCATCTGCCCAAAAGGCAAGGAACCAGTAGTCTGCATATGAATAAGCCAGATTTGAAAAAACAGATGTGCAGGCAAAACTCTCTCTGTAGATTTTCCACCAGAGTTTTAAGCCAATGAACATAAAGAAGAAGACCTATCATACAGCCCTTTTACAAGGCAGTGTAACCATGCCATTCAAGATACACACCAAAAGAGAAGAGGGATGGAGAGCAAGAGGTCGACCAAGAACAGGATAGAAATATAACATTAAAGAAAGTCTACAACAGTATGATGTATCTTATCATAAATGCAGAACCTTATATCTCCCTAAACATCCAAAATGTTAAAAAGAAGAAGTGATGAAGAAGAAAACAAAGCATAAAACTCTGTAGTGCCAGCAGGAATCCGTATAGATTTAGCAAATCCTATTCTTAACAAATCGTTAAAAAAAACAATATCAAAATACCTCTTGCTTGCTTTGTGAAAAAAAAAATCCTAACGTTCAACCAGCATCCCCCAAGAGGGGGCTTTTGGTTATAATTGTGACTAGGTTATGTGCGCCACTTAAAATAGCTTAGCACTGCTAACCAGATAGCTCTAAAAAGAACTCTTGCTGCGATTAAAGAAGACAGACCCAAAAACTGTCCTGACCAGCGACAAAATCGTCTACCAGCCAGCCAATGGGTGACCCTGTCACCGATGTAAAAATACCTCAGCCTGCAGAGATGAATGACTGTTTCTTGAGAGGAAGAATGCTGTGAAGTAAGTTATTCAAAAAAGCCTGGATGGTTGACTTAACTTCTTTCACCCAGGAAAATCTGCAGCATTAGCTGGAATGTAAGAAATAACTGATTATGCATCATTAATAGTTATAGCAGAGCTCAGACTTACTAAAATTGGGATCAGCTGCTTTCAACTTTTCCAGCGTTCCTATCATGCCTCCCAAGCTTTCATCATCGTACCAACCTGTGTACTAAGAACAAGCAGGAAACAGTTCATATATGTGTATAAACAATGATATGCATAAAGCAGGAGGTAAAGTACATTCTCCAATTTTATTCTTTTAATATGTTTAGTATGTTTCAAGACCATCACATAACAAAAAATTATGTATACAAAATGTCACTCTTTCTCTCTTTAAGCTGTTTCTCTTCTTTTCTCTTAGTAGCCTGCTCTCTTCTTATTCTTCTCACATTCACCTCTCTCTCTCTCCTGTGTCCACCTCTCTCTTAACCATTACACCAAAACAGTACTCAGAAAAATTCCTTTATATTAATACTTATAATAAAACATAAGAAAGAAGCATTCACAAAAACTTTCTTTTACAAGACAGAACGAAGCAAAACTCAACATTCAGTCCTAAAGAATGAAATGACTTTTAGACCTGGTACCCAGACCAAGAAATACTGTGACAATACTAGATGTTGTAAGACTGTTACAGTGCTCTCGAAGAAGTGGCACACAATTTAAAATTTACACTTTCTACAAAAAACATAAAACAAAATACCAAGGAAACTGTTTAGGCTAATGGCACATTCAACATATGATGCTAGGCTCAAATTTGTCTAGACCAATCGGCACTAAGTGACATCGTCAGCATTATGCTGACCACCCTTGCTTCCCAGGATTTTGCATAGTACTCATTTTAGACTGCTGATCTGGTAACCAGAGTGATTTGTTTCCAAATTCGCATCTGGTATGGATTTAAACCCTAGACCTTCAAACCAGCAGGCAGGTGTCTAGCCAGTGCTCTGGTGCTACTCCACATATAGACATAGAAACCCCTTTAAACTGAAGTAAAATATGGTTCTGCCTTAATACTTAATATTCAACAAAAAGTAAAAGAAATATAACAGATCAAAAAGTAATGTAAGAGATAATTACAGACACAGTATAGTAAAATGGGGCAGGTGTGGAAGTAACTAACAGAGGTAGCCAATGTAAGTGAGAAATACAGACCTATGGCAGTGAAATGGGACAAGTGTGGAAATACCAGAGGTAGCCAATGTAAGAGAGAATTACAGACACAGGGTGATAAAATGGGGCAGGTGTGAAAATATCAGAGGTAGCCAATATAAGAGAGAATTACTGACACAGGGCAGTAAAATGGGGCAGGTGTGGAAATAACGAACAGAGATAGCCAATGTTAACATGAATTCCAGGGTACCTAAAATCGAAACTGTGTTAAAAACAATTTATGCTACTTGGGGACCAAAAACAATAAAATTTTCTGCTAACAAACCTAAATTTTGTTCACGGTAACCATAAGTTCTTTTTAACTGAGTTTGTGTTAACGAGGTTTTACTGTATATACCATACCCCACTGACATGATCTCAAATATACTTACTTGAGTAACGATTGCATCATAGAGTTTACAGGCCTCATCACTTACTGTTGACAGTGGTAAACCCTCTCTGTTCCACTCCTAAAAAGAGTTAATAAGCAAGCACAGGTCAGTGAGGGATAACGGCAAGCTATATTCCTTCTTAGTCATTCTACACATCATGGTTTAACTATGTTTTCACAGTGTGTGTGGTTCTGTAGCAGAGAGGTTAATGAGTGAGTTTAACAATTTCACAATCCTTGATTACAGGGGTTCAATTTCTGTGTAGTACGGTTTATGAAAAAAAAAATTCTCTTTGCTTTTGAATGACAGTTTGAGAGTTGCACCATGGAAGAAAACTGGAATTCACCTCATAATATTCCTCAAGACAGCAGATTGTACACTGCAGCCAGGGCTTTTTCTTTAGAAACAAAGGTGCTGGTACTCACCACAGTGTTTTTTACATTAGAGCTGAAAAATTATGCCTTAAAAAAAAAAGGTGTTGGTGCTGTGTACTGTTGTGTACCATTAGAGAAAACCCCCTGAATGGGGCAACTTTTATGGAGAAGATCTGTTAGTTGCGTATCTTTTACAGGACATTGCAGAACCAGAACTAGCATTTTTTGGCTATTGTAGTTTGTCTAGGCAAATTTACGTCCAGTAGTTTGCCACTGCTTTCTGGACGGTCGGCTTCTCTATACCACTGTTGATACCAATGCAAGGTGCAAGGCCTACAGCTGGAATCAAACAGGGCACCCCGGCATTACAAGTGCGTTGGCAAAGCCTAAGATACAGATGCCAGCATGGAGAAGACACGCAGATGAATGTTCTACTTTCACATCACTAGAGACAGCAGACAAGAAGGTGGTAAGTTCAGCCTCCTCTCAAACAGTGCCACAGGTTTAGGGCCTTTGAACATTGTCAATATCTGTTTCCATGTGTCCATTGTGTAGGCAGGCAAATCAGAGGTTACCATGTACATATGAATTGTGGGTTAACCATCTGCTGGCATACAGCTGCTGATTGACATGACATCTAGTCTCTTCTCTCTTTATTACCTGGTTTTGTTGGAAATAAATCAGGGAAGTTGGACATTTAGTGAAAAAGTTTTTGGAAGCTGTGGAGATGTTGTTGGATAGATAAAAAGAGTAAATGCAGATGTTTTGAAAAACAAACTAACTCATGAAGAGATCGGACTGCCCACATCAGAAAGAGACAATCAATCTACATTCTTTGGTCATAACATAAGAAGGGGCAAGCTCGAGTAAATTTTGACAGCAGGAAAGTTGAAGGGGAAGATAGGCAGAGGGAGACTGGACATTTTGAAATCATGGCATGGAGGATCATCTGTGTCAGAACTGATTGAAATGACGTCTAGTAGTTTGCCATTGCTTTCTAGACGGTCGGCTTCTTGATACCACTGTCGAAACCAATGCAAGGCCCGCAGCAAGGATCGAACCTGGCACCCCGGCATTTCGAAGTGCTTTCACAACGCCTAAGCCACAGACTCCGACAACTGACAGGCATACATATCTAAAACAATTCTAAATAAATGTAACTTTATTTATCCCAATTATAACAAAGATGGCTTGAACAAACTATCTCATAAAAGTGTAATTATGCAAACAGAAATGCTGATATAGCAAGTAATTGACAAGCGTAAATATCCAATGTTGAAATAGAACTGAACCATCTTCACCAACATAATACATAAATCTCCCTATCCCCTGTGTTGTGTTTTAGGTGACGGTTTGACTGCTAAACAAGTGTCTAGGCATTCATGATAACTTGAGGCCCACCTGATTCACGTACTAGGAAGACCAGTGGACATCAGTAACATCCTTTATTCCTCACACCATGCAACAACAAAATGACCAAGAAGGAAATGTCAATAATCTCTCATCTCTCTCAGTCACACAATAGAATACTCGAGCAATTGTTACCAATACACTGTAACAAGTCCCTGCTTACATTGGGTAAACAGTCCAATTATGGAAACGTCAGTATAGGAGTGGAATCTCTCTAAAGAATAAGCCACTACGAAGTCCGAATAGTACTACCAATCTCCACAACTTGGATCTAACTTGCAACATTTATACGCAACGACGCAAGCAGGACTCACTGATCACATCAGCAAAACAAACCAGTACAAAGTCTGAACTGTCCATCAATCTCCACAACTTGGAGATGATAACCTACATCAGCACACAGCCACCCCAGCACGTCTCACATCTATTTCTAAACCGTATTTCCTTCCGATACCCATCCGTTTAGTATGTGCAAATCAGTTTTGCTACACTGAACGGCTCGCAAACGCTAAGCAATTCTCAGGGACTACAAGTACTGCGACCATCCCCAAGTTTTAGCTAGTATTCTGAGCTACTGCCCCATCACTTAATATTCATTCTAGTTAATAATCATGAGATGATAAAAACATAATATTCATACATTCGTGTTCCGATCCCACTCACTCCATTATCATTCTGGTTCCCTTTCTCTGAAAATTTATATGTATACAAGTGACATACCCAGTAAAAAATAACAGGTAAATACAGGTTTAAAATAAGTGCCCTAATTTTGTTCAAATATGTGGATTTGCTATTTGCCTTCTGCTCTGAAGGTCGTTAATTCCTTTCACAGACAAAATCCCTAGGTTCAGGAGTGCCATTTTGACTGAGATCCCTGGAGACTGCCAGTTGACTGAGATCCCTGGAGACTGCCAGTTGACTGAGATCTCTGCAGACTGCCATTTTGATTGAGATCCCTGGAGACTGCCAGTTGACTTAGATCCCTGGAGACTGCCAGTTGACTGAGATCCCTGGAGACTGCCAGTTGACTGAGATCCCTGCAGACTGCCAGTTGACTGAGAGTTTCAATCCTTGGACTGTTTAAAAGTTCACACTGACGCTGCACAGGATTCATGGGATCTATGTGACCACTGTGCAGATTGATGAGTCAAGAATTTGCATGTACACAAGAGTTGTAGCACAACTAAACTGACATTGTCAAGGTGGAGGTTATTAATATTATAATACACAACTAAAAATCCATGTGTCTATCCATCTGGTGTATGTTATATGGCCACCTTTCAAAAGGTAATGAGCCGAGGGGTGAAATTTGCAGATGTCATACTTGCTGCAATTTTAAGCTTACTGTACAATTTACAACAAGGTTTCTATGTATTTCTAATAAATAATGCCACAATAACCAAAATTTAACATTCACCAGTTATTTGCCTTAAAACAATATTTGTTTAAAAAAAAGTCCCTTTAAACTTACATTTTGCTATTATCTCCTTTCATACTTGAAGTCTGGACAGTAACTGCCCTTTTCTTTTAGCAGTGAGATAAGAGATGTGAAAGTACAAAGGCTGCATCAGTGCTTCCCCCTGAAAAAGTGCTACGGCCCGCGTGGGGGCACTCGGACGCCAACTTCATCTGTCAAATTTGTGGGGCAGTTGAACAGCCCAAGGTTAGTAAAAGCTTCACATGCAGTTAGGAGCAATAACTAAACATACATCAGTGGTGGAGACAAAGATGAAGCAGTGGTCTGGAGAATGAAATATTCTTTCGCTATCCCGGGCAAAGAAATTAAATCTGGGCATTCATAATTCCAGACCTACTCCCAATCTATAGTAGGTCTCACCTTAGTGAAGGGGTGGTTGACTGACTGACTTCCAAATCACTTGGAGATGCTGATCACAATTTGCACAGAGTGACTCACGTCTTCCATCTCTTTTAAAGAAGATTAAACTTATCTCATCATTCAAGATGGGAATGTATGGTTTTAGAAACTAGTTGTTCTTGTGAAAGTGCCAAGTTCGATGCTAGGATATGAACCTGTTAATTTATGTGATCTTTCTAATCGCAGTGTTTCAGTGTTTAACTCTGGTGATTAATGAGCTAAATTAAAGGATTATGATTTATTATAACTGATTACAATTCTGACAACAATTATCTGAAATTACCGCAGCACTTCTCCAGTTTGAGTGCATGTCTCTGCAATTTAAATGACAGCAGAATCTGGAAAACAAAAGTTAAAATTAACCTTGAGATCCTTACTTGTATTCTCAAAGTGCGATGTTACATATAGATTTACTACTAAATAATCACACTAAAACACAGACAATGAACAGGCAATCAGAAAATCAAACTCAGGTATAAGAAATATGTTACACAGAAGAGTAGGGTGCATTCACAAGAAAAACCAAGATGTCTATTATCATTACAAGACAGTCACAGTTTGCCATCTCACACCATTTAAAGCCATGGGACAGGTCTGAGAACTCGTCCTGATTACATCATGTGGCTAAACAATCCAGGCAGTCATCATTCGTATATTTCCCCAACCATTTATTTCTGTCATCTTCTCCTCTCCTCCCCCCTCCCCCTAGGTCAAGCAAAAGCCCTTAAACAACTCAGGTCAAGTGATCCTATTGTTATCACATGCAGCTCGCCCCACATCCTCCCTATCATTCAGCATCACTCTCTCATTTCCTACTCCATGCGTTTGTGTGTGTGTGTGTGTGTATCTTTATTTCTATGTCCTTATGGGTTCCAGTGTAAAGTCCTTCTAGTTATACTTTTCTCAGGTTCTCATGGGTTATATTATATTATCACCATCAGGAAATAAGTTACAGATATATGTCAGCTGCTAAGTATAGTAGTACAGAACTAGGTAAATTACCTAGAATACAGTATGTAAAAGCACACGTATAAGAGAAACAAGGTATTCACAAAAGCTGTGATATCTGATAACGACTAAAAATAACATGTATGTGAAACAGAAAGTTGTCATGTAATATTCTAAATCTGATTACTACAGTTATTTATAACTGTCGTCAACAATGTTGAATGTTGAATTAAGAATCGACATCACAAGCGAAGAGTTCCAATTCTGATGGCACCAGTAGCCATCTGATTGTATATCCGTCTTATTCTTCCACTGAGTGTTGAGCGTCGGCCACATCCCCCGGTAACTCCTTGCAGCGCCATTCTCCTACGACCGTAATGATCTATCTGCGCATCCGCGCTGTTCACTTGTTCCCAAAGGGCCCTCACAATATCTAGCTTATCATACATCAATTCACTACCAAGTGGTGC